ATACGTTCATTCTTTAAAAGCTTACAACCTACAAAAAACAATTTTTCATTCAAACATCTTGGGTAAAGTCGATTATTAGTCAATTAATTCATCTGTTTATTCAGATTTTTTTTTTTTTTTTTTTAGCAACTATTATAACAGTAACCAAGGTAAAAAAGACTGGTTCATATCCACTAGGACAGTGCTACTCAAAGTACAGTCTTTGAACCATAAACATTACAATCACCTGGAATCCTACCCTAGATCCACTGTATTAGAATCTCTGGGGGTAGGGCCCAGAAAATTGTCTTAACAGTATCTCTAGATGATTCTAGGAGCTATGGACTAGTGAAGTTTTGCAATCCATAGTAAAATCAACTACAGTCCTTGGAGATATGTACAAAGTGCAGAAATGTAAAAGAGCCCTAAGAATAGGAGCTAACAGTTACTGAGCACCTAGAATGTTCCAGGCACTTCACAGGCAGTCTTAGACATCACAATGATGGAGTGAGATTTGAACCCAAGGCCTTTCTGACTCCACAGTTCATAATCACTGTACAAAGTTCCCTGGGGTTGAGGAGTAGAGGAAGTTTCACAAAGAAAGCTGTGTTTAAACCAAGTCTGAGCTGGATAGATCAATAAGCTGGAGCAAAATGGGTATTGTTAGTCCTGGAAAATGATGCAGTATATGAAAAGGAATGGAAGCAAAAGAGACCATAGCATATTTAGAAATTTCAGGGACGGGGCTGGCCCGTGGCTCACTCGGGAGAGTGCGGTGCTGATAACACCAAGGCCCCGGGTTCGCATCCCATATAGGGATGGCCGGTTAGCTCACTGGGTGAGCGTGGTGCTGACAACACCAAGTCAAGGGTTAAGATCCCCTTACCGGTCATCTTTTTTAAAAAAAAAAAAGAAAGAAAGAAATTTCAGGGAGTCCACTATAAAATGCTGGGGAACAGGAGGGTAGAGATGGGACTGGACAGCTAGGCATAAGTCTTATTTTTGATATGCTACATAAATGAGCTTATATTTCACTCTGCAGGAAAAAAAAAATGCTGCTGAAGAATTTTGCAGGACTGAAAAGACTAATTTAGTGACAGCAAATTACCAGTAGAGTAACATGGTGGGGAAGAAAAACAAAGGCAGTGATACTAGAGGTAAAAAAGACAGGTAGAGTAATTGAGCAGTAGTCCAGGGAAGAGATAAGAGGGGCTGGAATAGACACAGCGATGGGGGCTGGTCAGAGGGGAAGGATTCCAGAGGTATTAAGGCAGAACTGACAGCACTTCACTATTAATTTGTCTAATAAATAAAGTTTCCACTACAGGCCCAGCACTATTCTAGGAGCGAGGGATTTAGCAATGAAGAAAATGTACAAAATCCCTCGCAAAGCTTCCATTCTAGTGTGTGTTGGTGGAAAGGGGTCTGGGTTAATAAGCAATAATGTCAGTTGTAATACGTTGTGTGAAGAAAAATGAAACAGGATGAAGAGACAGCAAGTGATGAAGTGGCTGCTATTGTAGACAGGGTCAGGAGAGGACTCTCCATAGGATGACATTTGGACTGAGGCCTTGTCGGGTCTGCCGCCAGCCGACCCGAACAGCCCTAGCCTCGTTCTTTTTGGTGGGCGAGCGAATGGCCCGGATTCCTCTTTCTCTCCAGTCCCCTTTGGAAGGAGACGGGGGAAGAGACCCGTGAAGAGAGGTGAGCACAACCGCTGGCCCCAACCAGCCTGGTTAAAGGACACTCAGATGCGGCGGAGGTTCTGTCGAGCAGTTCCATTTACTATCACACAAGCACTTGCTTTTTTTTTTTTTTTTTTTTTTTTTTTTTTGAGAGTGGGCACACTGCGCTCAGCCAGTGAGCGCTGTGAGCGCACCGGCCATCCCTATATAGGATCCGAACCTGCGGAGGGAGCGCTGTTGCGCTCCCAGCACTGCACTCTCCTGAGTGCACCACGGGCTCAGCCCCAAGCACTTGCTTTTAAAGGCAAATGGGGAAGGGAGGATTTTTACATAATCCTATCAGCTTAAAGGTCAAGAGCATGCAACCTGTCTCAATGCCTAGCTATTGCAATAACGCAGTGTTCATGAGTGTGGAAGGACATATTTGGCCAATAAGGGCTAAGGCAAGGTTCCCGCAGACACTCCCACCCTACTTCCTCCCGGCGTGATCTTAGGCTGCCACATTAATATGCCCTTGTGGGCCCATAATGGCGCCGCTTGTAATGTCACTTAAAGTGGCGTTAGTTTTTAAGGCCCTACAATTCCCCCTTTTTGTTTTAATAAGGCAGCTGGAGGTGGCTAACCTTCCCAGCCTTGCCTCCATTCCCTCTGGTGGCTGTGCCTGTCTTAGGTTGTTTCCCTCTGGAAATCTTACCCGTCATTGACTATCCAGCCAAGCGGGGGTGGGGCGGAGCCTTAGAGATTGGCATTGATTTTTTAAAGGGCCATATTGACCCAAGGGCTGTCAGGGCTTTCATTATCCTCTACCACCTGGGTGAGCATTACGAGAGAAGTAGTGTTGCGCCTTATTAAGGCCCCAAGATGATTAAGACAAGGAAAATGGCTAGGGGGCCCGCCAGGGAGGACAGCAGGGTGGTGAGCCATGGGGAACTTGAAAGCCAGCTTTGGAACCAATTACTATTGGCTTCACGTTCTTTTTTTGCGCTTTTCTAGCCCTTCTCTAAGCTTAGCTAGGAAATCCTTGACCATTCCAAAGTGGTCAGCATAGAAGCAGCACTCTTCTTAGAGGGCAGCGCATAATCCTCCTTGCTGTAAGAACAACAGGTCTAGTCTATGTCGATTCTGTAAAACAACTTCAAAAAGTGATGTTAGTGATTTTTTTAAATGTGATACAGACACCTCCAAGCGGCCAAAATCTATGTCCACTGCTTCCCTAAGGGAAGCTACCTGTTGATGTGCCACAGCTATTCTGGCGGTCCTGGTACCTGCTCCAATAACTCCCAAGAGGGAGCTGATGGCCACCGCAGCTGCCCCTGTGGCCCGCTTGTTTCGGGTCCACTTGTTTTGGGTTTTGGGGGAGGTGAGATTTGCCATAGTGCTGCAAAAGGGTTTGTTGGCACCTACGCAGGAATCTTTGCCAAGGACCCATGGGAAGGTGAGTCCGGGGTTGGTGGCATTGGGCAATGCTACTGCTTGATTTATCTCTGCCTGCACATGGCACTCTTCTTTAAAGAAGGCGCAGAACTTGATAAACAAGTTTGGGGGGAGGACAGCCTTACAGAGCATTTTCCAATCTTGGTTGTGAAAAGTTGGTGCGCTAAGCCCAGGAGGATGGTTTCTACCCATGGGGAATTGGGCCCATCCTCTGCAACAGCCTTTTTCAGCTCTTTAAGGTCATGAGCTTCCCAAGGGTACCAAGCGACCGGCCTATTTCCACCAGGGGCTTTGTCAAATTTGGACCTACAGTCCTTTTTCCAATGTAATCCTTTTTTACATCGGGAGCTAGGTGTGATAGGGGTTTTTTTGCCTTTAGCCTTGGGACATTGGCTTTTAAAATGACCTTGTCTTCCACAACCAAAACATTGTCCCTTGAAGGGTGGGGAAGTATTGTTTCCTGGGGGGATCAGGGCAGTAAACGCCTTGAAGGCTTCAGTTAAGTTTTGTGTCTGAGCCTGCAAGGCTGAGGATAAAGTCCTGGCCTCGGCAACAGCCTTTTTTAGTTCTTTTACAACGTTGACCAGATAGGCCTGAGGGGCCGCTTCCCCGCCATGGGCTGCGGGCAGCTGGGGATTCCCAGTGAGCCATGACAGGAAAAGCCTTCAGCTGTGCCGGGGATGTTTTTAAAGGTGGACTAGCCTCCTCCACTTCTTCAGGTGCTGCTTTCTCTCCTTCGGCTAAACTTTGGTGGGGTGAGTATGACGGGAGAGGAGGGTACAGGGTAGGGGCATAGGTATCACTCAGGCTCAGGGCCTTGCATTGGCAGCTTTGTTTCCTTTTTTCTTTCCTCATCAAACTGCGCCCAATCCCTTTCTGCCCCTTCCTGATGCTCGGGACAGAAGCAAAGCTTTAGGGCAGAGATGGTTGGGTAGAACCCTAAGGGGTGGGGGTCTAGCCCATGACTAATCTCATTCTTTCTGGCCAGAATCTGAACCCGATCCCAAGTCTCATATGAGAACAAGTTGGATGAAGGTGCCCAAGGGGCCACCTGCACCACATGACGCCAGGCATTGGTGGCCGTGGAGTCAGATATTTATAGGCCTCTGCTTTTTAACATGTACTTTAGAGCCTTGCAAGCAGTCTCATCATTCTTTCCACACACGCCTCCCATGTTGCCCTGTGTGGAAGGGACAAAGGGAGCAACAGGGCAGAGAAGTGCAGGGACTTCCCCCTGTTATGGTACTCACCCTGACACGCAGGTGGATTACTTCATGGTGACTACCGCGGTTGAGGGGGCCACTCCGCTCGTTGATCACCCTTCGTCGACCATCTTTCAGGACCGAGCAGCCGGGGGCCTCACCCGCTCGACTTTCACCCACGAGTTTTAAAAAATGCCTCACATGGGGCACCACTCTGTCGGATCCACCACCGGCTGACCCGAACAGCCCTAGCCTCGTTCCTTTTGGTGGGCGAGCGAATGGCCCAGATTCCTCTTTCCCTCCGGCCCCCTTTGGAAGGAGATGGGGGAAGAGAGCCGTGAAGAGAGGTGAGCACACCGCCGGCCCCAACCAGCCCAGTTAAAGGACACTCAGATGCGGCAGGGGTTCTGTCGAGCAGTTCCGTTTATTAGCACACAAGCACTTGCTTTTAAAGGCAAATGGGGAAGTGAGGTTTTTTACATAATCCTATCAGCTTAAAGGTCAAGAGCATACAACCTGTCTCAATGCCTAGCTATTGCAATCATGCAGTGTTCACGAGCACGGAAGCACGTATTTGGCCAATAAGGGCTAAGGCAAGGTTTCTGCAGACACTCCCACCCTACTTCCTCCCGGCGTGGTCTTAGGCTGCCACATTAATATGCCCTTGTGGGCCCATAATGGCGCCGCTTGTAATGTCACTTAAGGTGGCGTTAGTTTTTAAGGCCCGACAAGGCCTAAATGAAGAAAGGGGTAAGCCAAGGGACTACTGGGTACAGAGGGAGACATGACAGGAGTGGAAGCAGGAGACTGATAAGAGAGGAGGAAGTGCCTAGCAGGACTTTCAAATGGATGATGGTGCAATTTACTGAGAAAAAGAGGCAAGGTTGCGTGATGCTAACAGGAAGCCATGTGGAGGAGTCGGGTACCCAGTAGAGCAGTCTAGAAGGGCAGTGGGAGTTATCGGAAGGAAACCTCAAGAATATTTGCTAATATTCCAATCCAAAGACACTGACTGAATGATTTCCTTGTCAAATTAAAAGGGTCAGACTTTTCCATCTAAGATCATTAGTTTTAGTAAACAGTAGAGCTGAAAATATTTCAATGAATCACAAATTGTGACTGAAATGGTATTTAAATGACGTTCTTGAAAGCTTTTCACAAACTTAAAAGCACATGTACATTTTAAGAGAAAAAAATTTATTTAATAAAAATGCATTATATTCATTTAAAATATACATATATAAGCATTTTAATATCAGCAAATTCATGATATCAACATTCTATCAAGTAAATTAGAAGGCAGAAAAACTGCTACAATTTAGTACAAGTACACAAAAATCCTAAATTCCTAAATCAGAAGCCCTGATGATAACCATTTTCAGAATTCAATCATTAGTGTGCAATCAGAGTCTCTGGCTGTTTCTTGATTAAAATAGTTGGACCACTGCAATACTGTTCTTCCATGTTTTCATGCATACAATTTTATGTATTATTCTATTATGTAAATGCAATATTCAAATTCACTTGAACTGTGGGCCTGAAAATTAGAGATTAGCTTTTAGTTTATTACTTTCAATGATTTTATCTGAATAAAGCTGATCAATCTCTTCCTGGTTGAACCCAAATTCCTTAAGTATCTCTTCACTGTGTTCTCCTAGTAAAGGATCCCTTTTGGAAGAAGGTATGGCTGGAGTGCCCGATAGCAGAGGTGCAGGGCGGGGACTCACGCCCTGCTCCTCATCAGTAATAAACGAGCCCCGTTCTTTGTTATGAGCGTGATGGACAACCTCTTCAAAAGTCAGCACTGGGGTCACACATGCATCTGTGCCATCAAAGATCTGACACCACTCTGCCTTTGTCTTCTTTGCAAATACATCTGCAAATTTCTTCTTCATTTCTGGCCAGTCAGTCATGCTCATTTGATGGGGAAGTTCATCAGACTTTAGTCCAAGACCTGAGAGGAAAATGCAATTTTTTAAATTATTATGCTTTACAATCAATGAAAATGAATTTTGAGCCTACCATACTGTCCCAAATAAGATATTTTACAAGGGTTTTTCAAATGAGTCAAGAGAAGAATTCAAAGTCTATTTGAAGCTGGAACCAAAGGCTGGAGAGGGGAGAGGTAGGAAGGGTAGTAGGACTCAAAGTAGACTTGTCAATGCCAAGATTTTATTATTTACATTGCATCAAAAATGGTCTATTTTTAATGGCCTAGTTTCCAGAAATCGATTTCTTCCCTCCAAGAAGGTTTAAAAATTTTTTTCTCAGGATGTTATCATCTGTCATATCGAATTAAAACAACCCCACACTTTATATAATGTACCTAAAGCCTATAAAACAAAATTTAAACAATTTTATACACATGACTATCTCAGTTTTCAAAGAAGAAGCCCAAAGAGAAGTGATTAAATTCAGGATTGCAGTTTTATAAAATACTATTCATTTCTCTTTATTTTGGCAAAATAAAAGAGCTCAAAAAGGGCTTTGAACTAGGAACAAAGGCCTTATAAGGGAGCCAAAGACTCATCAAGCCATCCTACAGCAACCATGACAGAGAGTTAGCCAGCCAGTCCACAGTGGGGCATGCACACTTTTCTCTCAGGCATGGAAGGGCCTGACAGGCCCATCAACACCACAGTGCAGAGAACATGAAGCATCCACCTGGGGACTTCACAGGAAGGATGGCTTCTTTAGCTCATGACCTGATCTGTGCTTCTTTTATTGATTACATGAACCTACTCCTGCAGATATTCCTGAACTCCAGTGCTGATTAAATTACACCCAAAGGGCCACTTTACAGGGGTATGATGTAAATGTCACTTTTCTTCCCTCACATGAGGATTTTTAAATATGGATGGCTAAGTGTCAAATGACAATAAAAGACCCTTTTCCTTATGAATAATATTTTAAGTTGAAAAGTACAATAACAAATGAAAAATTCACTAAAGGGTAATAATCTCAACAGCAGATATGAAATGGCAGGAGAAAGAATCAATGAACTTAAAGACAGGTCAACTGACATTATGTAGTCTAAGGAAGTAAAAAGAATAAGAAAAATAAACAGAGCCTCAGGGACTTATGAGACACAATCAAGCATACCAACATATGCATTAAAGGAGTCTCAAAAGGAGAAGAGAGAAAGAACAGAAAGAATCCTTAAAGAAATAACATCTGAAAAATTACCAAATTTGATGAAAAGCACTAATTTGCATATCCAAGAAGCTAAAGGAACTCAAGTAAGATAAACTCAAAGATCCACACCTAGAACTAATAAACAAGCTTAATAAGGTTGTAGGATATATGATTAATATACAAAAACCAACTGCATTTCTATACACTAGCAATGAATGTCTCCACTGACAGTAACATCAAAAAGAATAATATTCTTCAAAATAGATTTAACCAGAGAAGTGCAGGACTTGTACACTGAAAACTACAAAGCATCACTGAAAGAAATTAAAGAAGACCTAAGTAAATGGAGAGCAATCTATGGTCATAATCAAAAGGCCTAATATTGTTAAAATGGCAATACTCCCCAGATTAATGTACAAATTCAATATAATCCCTATCAAAATCACTGCTCCCCTTTTTGCAGAAATTGGCAAGCTGATCTTAAAATTAATATGGATGCAAGAGACCCTGAAAAGCCAAGACAATCCTGAAAAAGAACAAAGTTGAAGGGCTCATATTTCCCAATTTCAAACTTACTCCGAAGCTACAGTGACCAAGAAGTGTAACACTGACATATGGACAGACATATAGAACAATGGAGTCTTTGAAAGTCCAAAAATAAATTATGGTCAATTGATTTTTTGACAAAAATGCCAAGAACATTCAGTGAGGAAGGAATAGTCTTTTCGACAAAGGGTGCTAAGAAAAGTGGACAGCCCTATGCAAAAGAATAAAGTTGAACCCCTAACCTCATCCCATATACAAAAATTAACTCCAAATGATCAAAGACCTAAATGTGAGAACTGAAACTATAAAACTTTTAGAAGAAAATATTGAGATGAGACTGTAGAGCAGGGAGTTCTCTAAATTAATTTATGTGTACTAAAGGATAAGTAATAAAAATGTGCTAATAAAGCTCACATATATATCATTAGAACTTAACAGTAGCTTTAGAAATTGTTCAGAACTCAGTCCAACAAAATTTTTTCAAGGAATATATTTTATCATTGTCATTTAGAAGTGCCTGTGAATGGTGATAATAAAAAGCTGACTAAAGTTTAGTCTACTATATTATTATATTTAAATTCTCTATATAACTATACAAGGTTTTTGTAAGGTTCAAACTCCACCGTACTGTGTCTCTGTTGCTTTCTGGGACTCTGCACCCAAGCATGCTGCTCCCACCATTTGGCCTTTCATATAGCATTGTTCAGTCCAGAATTTTAAATTAAGTCTCTGTTCTTAGTTTTAATTTCTGGACAAAAAGGTATCCTACATAATCTAGATAAACCATTCTGTTCTATAATTTTTCCAACTATATTTGAGTTAGTGCTTTCTGATTCTTGCAAAAACAATCATTCCAGCTATATGTAAATAACTTTGAGTAGTATATTGCATCTGAAAAGCTACCAAATGTAACAATGAAACTGCAAAGTAGAAATATAAATGCACTATGATCAGCTTCTCATATCACTTTGGAGTATATTCTAAAACTTCTTAGATACTACATTATCTGTAGAGTGAACTTGAAATTCAAACCTTTCTCAGGGACAAAATAACTCCAGTCCAATCATTTAATTAGGGAAGAAGAGATCTCAAACTTTCCTGCTAACATGTGGCAACATGCAAAAAAGCAAGAATCTGCAAGAAAGGTAAACTGCAAGGCATCAAGTGATAGTAACCTATTCCAACAGAATATCATTTGCCAAAGTTTCTCTATGCTCTGGTGACACCTGACATTGAAGTACAAGAGACATCTATCAAGGATCAGAAGCCAGTAGATCATTTTTTACAGGGAAGAATAGGATCTGGGCACACAAAAGCAAAATAAATATCCAACACTAAAAGGGAAGAAATGTAATAAAAGTACTGAACATCACATAAAAGGGATTACTATTTTTTAAACCCTCAGCTATTTTATAGACCAGTAAAATTACCTGTCAATTTAAAAGATGAGGAAAATGGCCCACAATATATTGATGGCTACAATTAGGCTAATTAAAAAGTGCATACATAATAAAAAAGCATCATGAATTTCAAAAGGTCCCAAAATAGAGGCTAAATAATATCCACAGGAGAAGAGCTGTGGGGGAGGCACGTGAAGGTTATCCACCTTTGATCAGCAGCTCGTAGAACTGGGGTTCTATGGCTCCCACAGCCATGAACTCCCCATCCGCCGTCCTGTAAGTAGTGTAGAAAGGTGCTCCGCCGTCTAATAGGTTCTGTCCTCGAGGTTGTTCCCATAGACCCAATTTTTGAGTTTTCCACAGAAAAGAACTTAGATATGCTGTTCCTTCCACCTTTGAAGAAGCAGAATGCAATACAAATGCAGATAATTAAGTATAAAAGCAAGATTAATTTATATTTAGGTTTTTTTTAAAATATCTGTGTAAAAATGCTTATCTCAGAGTATAGAAGATTATAACAACTTCTTTGGTATTTCCAGAAAGTGAGTGAGAGTGGGTTTATGATAAAATAACAATTGGCTGCACTATTCAGTTCAGGAAATACAGTAAGACTTAGAAGAAACTACTTCTGTTCTTCTTTTCAAGTAATACTGGTGAAATGTTCCTGGTGATAATTTTTGAAGCTAGATGAGGGTACATGGAAGTTCATTATACTATTCTCTCTACCTTTATATATTTTTAAAACTGCTAGGATAAAAAGTTAAAAATAAAGAAAAAGGTTTTTAAAATCCATCTCTGATCTCAATACTTATGAACACATACACACAGATATAGCAAATATATCATATTTTAAAGGTTAATCTCATTATAGTTAAATTTCACTTATTCTAGCTTGACTACAATCCCAAGAAAACTATATTTGAGTTTTAATATATCATATCTTTAATAATCACTAGAAAGTTGCAAAATAAACATAACAATATGGGTGGTCAGTTCATGGATTTTCTGAGTCCAGACAAACTAGTTTGGGAAAGCCACCTTCCCACTGAGTCCTCAAGTGACAGGAGTGGATTCACACGCTCAGGCTCAAACTCAAATGGGACTGAGGAGAAGGCTGTCAAATCATCTTTGCCTCAGAGGTTACCATTGAGGGCCCCACTCCAATTGCTGGTGGAATTTCTCAGTCACTGGCTGTGAAACAACCACAAAATATATCTTTGGATACAAACCAATTTACCCTTTTAACTTGAAATCTCATGCACACCTGAATTTATGGCTGTGACATCTGTCATCACCAAATAGCTGAGTTCATGTAAGTGGCTATGGTGATGCTTTTTTTTGAGACTGGGTTACAATCATACAGTGTTCCCACATTTACACACACACACACACACACACACATACACACACACACATAATGACATGCATACATACATATACATATATATGTGCACTATTTTAAATATATCCTATGTTTGTACGTTGTTATTTAAGTACGTACACATTTAGATGTATCCTATACCAAATTCTGACACACCAGAGACTCAATCATTAACATTTGTTATTAGACCTTAAAATAAAGCTTCTTCCCTCCAATTTTGCATAAATTTGACATTGCAATTGAAACACCATTAAGAACTTTTGTTCTACATGGACCTTTCCCCCTCCTAATCTGGGCTTGCTCATACAAAACCGAACTAGTTAGTGTCTACCATAATAAGCAAGTGCCTGCTTTCTGCTCAGGCCTTGCTGCTGTCAGAGCCTAAGAGTTAATGGGGCAGTAACAAGTGAGCTCAAAGCAACTTGGGTGTCATACAGTGCTACACAGACTTCTGACAGTTTTGAACATGCTTATCTGACTTTCATATTCAAGCCAAAGATCATGAGAAGTTTTTAGGTACTGTAGTGAGTAAACCTTGAAACAAAATATTTCTGTTCTGCCTCGTCATAAATGAAATGTAATCTGGAACTTTAAGCAAGATACTTAAAAACTATAGGCATTCTTAACTAAGCTTGGTGACTCAGGATTTCCTAACACTGGGCCAAAACAAAATGTAGTAATAAACTGAATACTAGAAGTGATAAGACTCTCATCCATAAGCCCTAATTTTAAGTGTCTGTGCTTATCAAAACTGCTTCATTGGTCTGACAGCATAATATGTAAACACTGACTATGTAAACATAAAATAGATTTATGCTAATACTCCGTCTAATCTCCTTTATATGCTGGATGTCCTGATGAGACTGTTGAAAGCAGATGCACTAGCAGACTTAATGGGTCCAGTCTGGACCACTCAGCACACACACACAGGCTATAATCTAGCCCTACCTTTACCCAGCATCACAGAAGGATATGGGACAAGAGACGCAGGCATGGCAGTGGCTACTCAGCACACGGCCTCTCCTGTGCATGCTGCCACCACAGACGAGAGCCCCCAGACACAGAGAAACTGCAGCCTCAGTTTCCACCCACCTTTATACTTCTCATCAGGAAGGCCAGCAGCCTGCATGCCAACTCACAGCACCCCTGGGGCAGGTGCACTCCCCTAGATTGGGGATAAATACAGCTAGACAGACCCCACATTCCATAGTTATCTTAAATCTACAGTTTCCAAGGAAACAGCACATGAAAAGACACACTTCAGGTCTTCACAGGTGGGCCTGGGTCAAGGATGCTGGCGTCAAAATAATGTGAAAACTACTGGCCAATAACAAGGTGTCTGCCTCCCCTACAACTGTTTGTGTTGCAACGATTCCCAGCAATGAAGTCACAAATATGATTTACTAATCCTTTTGGCCTTAAGTAATTAGTGAACACTCACTCTCCCCTAATATGAACATGAGCCCTAAACAAAGTTTATATTTTCATATACACTAAAACCTTACTATCTTCTAATTATTATGTAATTCTGATTAGATACATTCTGATGAAAGCAGCAATCACCTTTTGTTTACATTTGACAATAAATAATCAATTGGCTGTCTTTACCAAATTATTCAAATTATTACCAGATAAAAATTTACTTTAATTCTCCAAAGGCCCTATGTTTGTGCTTAGTTCACTCCTCTTAGGTTGGGGGCAGGAGAGGGAAGTGATTAACTGGATGGGCTGCAGGGTCAGGCTGCCTGCGTCTGCTGCTTCTGATCCTTCCCAGCCACCTGCTTTAGAAGAAGGCAGTCAACCTCTCAAGCTTTCACACCTCCAGAGCCAAATAAGAGTGAGCATATCTCCCTCAGGAAGTAGCGTGGGCCACGGAGGGAAGCTGTACATGAGGCATGGAGCTTGGTGGCTGGTGGGCAGCAGTGTAAAGCTGCCACTGCTATTTCATGCTGCGACTCTGCCATGCTGATCCAGGAGCTGGATATACAAAACAAATACTTAATAACTATGCTCCTGCTGAAATACACATCAGACAGGGACATGAAGGACAATGTGAGATGTGCCCTGATGACAGTATCACAGGTGGATGCAGTACAGGGCTAGGCATGATTCACCTGTGAGGAGAAGGAGGCAGCCAGTCAAGGCTCTGGAGATGAGGAGATTCTGGTAGGAAATGGACTTTGCAAAGGTCACTGGTGACCCAATCCAATTTACACTGCTCAGTCTTTAAACTCCTGAGGTGTCCAATAACATCTGATCCTTGGACCATTCCTTTTTTCTTGGCACTTTCTCTCTCCTGAATTTCCATGACAACACTTCCTTCTGCATCTCCACTTAGCTCTTGAAGCCATTGCTTCTCTTCTTCCTGGACACTCACTCCTTAAATGCAGATTTTCTGTTCCCACCCCTAGTGGACCACATGGTCTCACATGGCTCCCAAATGATTCCCAAATGACTCCAAAATCTGTTTCTAGTGCCTAACCTCAAGTATCCCATCTGAAAGGCACTTCAAACTTGAAATGACCAAAACTGAATTATTTTTCTTCTAAAAAAAAATAATCACAATAACAAACTTACAGAGTGCCTGCTCTATGCCAGGCACTGTTTACACACTGAAGAATGGATGAACTCATTTAATTCTGTAACAATGTTATGAGGTAGATACCATTATTATCACCATTTTACAAAGGAAACTGAGGCACAGAGATGTTAAGTAACTTACCCAAGATCACAGAGCTAGTAAATGGCAGAGCTGAGATGGAAGAGGTCAGCTAGCAATGTCTGTGCTCTGGACCACTGCTCCACACTGCCTTATCCTTCAGCAGTCTTCCCCCAGGGTGCCAGTGACACCATCCACCAGGTCATCCAAGCCAGAAATGGGGGGGAGGGAGAGCCATTCTTGATTCACCCCTCTTCCTTCCTGCTAATCCATCATCAAATCCCAGTAATTTTACATCTCCAATATCCCTTAAATCCAAACCCACCCCACTATTAACTGCTTTAGTACTTGCCCTTACGTCTCAGCAATAACCCAGTAAATGATTTCTCTGACTCCAATCTTGTCTGCTTGAAATCCATTCTCCATCCTACCTTCAAATGTTTGTGAAGAGGTAGATAGATGTGCAGTGGTGCTGGGTTGGGCTCTCTTACCAACTAGCTGTGAGGCCTTGGGCAAATGACTATGCTTCAGTTTCCTCCTCTTTATAATAACAACGTATTCCAAATGAAGTCATTGTTTTGAGGATTAGAAGAGATCACACAGGGAAAGTGCCTAGCAGAGCATGAGGCAAGCACTCAATGTATGACAGGGAACAAATAGAAGCACTGTGACATAGGGGCATCCCCTCCAAAATGCAGCAGGAAAGTCTAGACAGGAAGGTCCATTTGCCTTTAGCATCCTTAAGAATCTTCTTTTCCTGCTGAGAGACTTCTTGAACTCAGTTTCAAATAAAGATTGCTTGAAAACTATATTCTAAGCACAAGAGGTAATTTGGGGGAAATTATTGAACTACAACATAGGAATCAGATGAGTCACAAAAAATTGAGAGAATTGACTCCACAGACAGATGATCAAAATGTGACACTCTGACATATACAAAGGATATGAGACTATTTTAAAGAAAAGGATATCCTTGGTAGCTTGGATTCAAACTTTAAATTTCATTTATCTCCTGTCTTGTTCAGAAAAGGATTTGAGGCAGCCATATATCACACTTAGGAACAAGTGGGAGGCTAATCATTTCCCCCAATTAATACTTACCATGTTTGCATCAATGACCTGACCTTTGCCAGAGCGTGTGCGTTCAAAAAGAGCCATCACGATGCCCAATGCACACATGAGGCCACCGCCACCAAAGTCTGCCAGGAGATTCAGCGGGGCATATGGATTCTCACCACTTCTGCCAATTTTTGATAGAACACCTACGTCACCAAAACCAAATTTAACATCTCCTTTAAATATAATGTCTCTTTTAAATGAATACATGAACGTCTTAGAGGAATAATCAATCTCTCTAGTCGTTGACCTAAGTAAATACTAATATATAATACTTTTCAAAATATGAACCTATTCAGCATACTTATGACCAGGCTTTCCCTCAACCTAGGCTCCTTTTTTTGTTGGTTTTTTCCTCTCTGGAACTGTATTCCAACTGACATTTTCAAAATTTTATTGCTGTTTTAACTCATGAGTTTTTTTGGGGGGGGAAATGATTACTATCATTTATTTTGTGTCTTTAAAATGATATAATGTACTTTTATTCTTATTAGAGAGAGATGCAAGAAAATAATTGCACACAAGAAAAAGAAAGGGATTAACTTTAAAGCAGACATGAGGGCCGGCCCGGTGGCGCACTGGATAAGTGCACCACTTGGGAAGTGCGGCGGCGCTCCCGCCTGAGGGTTCGGATCCCACATACAGACCGGTTCCCGCTCACTGGCTGAGCGAGGCGCGGGGGCAACACCGAGGGTTGCAATCCCGTTGCCGGTCCCCGGTCCGGTACGGGGACAACACTGAGGGTTGCAATCCGTTGCCGGACACGGAAAAAGACAAAAGACAAAAAAAAAAAAAAAAAAAAAAAAAAAAAAAAAAAAAAAAA